CTTTGAGTAGAGTCCCAAGGACAATCTTCAGCTACTGATTTGCAACATGTGCATTGATCTGAAGTTGGCATCAGTTAACTCTAAACAAAACCATGTCAAAGTTGCAAGGATAACAATTATTTTTATTGGCCAGGGAGGATTGAGTCAACTATAGTTTTTTTTTTTTGATAACTGAGTCAACTAGCTAGGAGATTAATTAGCTAGGTATCAAGCAAGCAAAGCAAAGCACACAAGAGGCCCTTGGAAGGGTGTCCACAGGGGATATAAAATTAGTTAATGATTAAAGAGCCGTTTCTTAGAAGGCAGCCAAGCTAAGGGTGATCACAAAAGTCTAAAAAGATGGATGAAAGATGCATGCCTTTACAGGTTCATAGAATCAAACAAGAAAGGACATGGGGACTTTTAAAACTGAAAAGGAGATTAGGCCCCACACCACCCCCAACTGCATTTCCATGTGCATCCATTTATTTGCTTTTGCTCCAAACCTAACCTTGGTTTGGTTGGTGCTCACCCCTCCTGGACTCCTCTCCATGGATCCTCCTAGCTCATGAGTGTCTTCCTCTCCATGCTTTTGCCCATGCTTAATGTCAACAACCAAAATGGTTGAATTGACCACCCTAAGAAATTTGTAGGAGTAGACTAGAATATTGAGAGCTGCTAAAAAGTTTCAAGGAGGGCTGCACCCACTAGCAAAATATCTTATCATGGCCTACTAATATATAGTCATTTTTTGTTATGACATATAGTTCTACAAATATATAGGAAATGGTTTTTAATTAGAGCAAAAATAGTTGTTATGCCACAATTCCATTTGATTAAGTTTGTGACATGAAAATGTATTAGGGAACATAATAACATATTAACATGCCCATGATGGAAAAAAAAAGGATGTATTTTGTTGCAACCTGACTAGGACACTTGCAACTTGCAAGTTGTGAATGAGTAAAAGAAAGAAAATAAAATGTTTTTTTTCTTTTGAAGAAGGGACAAAAACGCATAAAGCAAGTAGAATCAAAAGAACCCTTGACAAAGTTGTTTATGGCCATGGGATTCTATAAAGGAGAAAGGAACATATCTTTATTATTAAACAAGAAATTATTGGTTCCACAAAATTATATTGGATTTCACTGCAATACATATGTCATATAATATATATTTGTATTTGCAGGAGGCATAGACGATACATCGAATACCCTATCCACAAAATAATGGAAATTGAAGTAGTCATCACAGGACTGTTTTCTACAGCCTTTTAAATTAGGGACATGAATTCATTTGTAGTTGACTACTATGGTATGCCGACATCACCCTTTTCTATTTAGTATTTGCACTGTTCATTTTTCAAAGTACCATGTCATAGCCAAAAAAAAATGAGAGAGAGAGAGCACTGAATGAAACTAGTATCTCTTTTCCATCTGTTAATTATTTTAGTAGAATTAGGAGTTGAAACTATTTCAGGGTGATATAGATATATATTACCTTTTATGGATTAAAATTATGCTTAATCTGCACATGATGAGTACATAAACATCCCCCAAATAAACCCACTCTCTTGCTAATAAAAGAACAGACAACAACAACAACAACAAGAAAAGGATGATGGCAACTGAATTATTCAGCTTGACAATAATCATTCATACCCTCCCAACCTTATCCCAGCAAATGAGCATGCACGGGCACATTTCTGAGAGAGTGAGTGATCCTTTCATAAAGGCAGAAAGTTGCTGCCCTGACCTGGCCTGGCCTGATCCTGATGATTTTGATGATGAGAAGACCTACTATCTATCTATCTATCTATCCTGACCAGCTGCCTGCCTGCCTGCCTGCCTTTCTTGATGGCTAAGGACAGCCAACCCACGAGGGGATTCCTCCTATCCATCCTTCTTCTAGCATGCAATTATGTGCAGGCCAAAAAGGCTTTGGGTCCAGTTCCGATGCCATCACCTCTCTTCCTCTCTTATTCCACCTTTCAATGGACAGAAAAGAAAGCTATACTACTTCCCTTCCTAAAATATACTAGCTATTTCCGATTTTCCCATTTGTTTAAAAATATAGCTATTTTTACACCTACTTACATCTTATCTTAACTCGTTAGACTAATCATCTCCCATTTAATTTCCCTACCTAATATCTCTTTTCATCCGATCACGATCTTCCACTATTCTATGTCAGATAAATTTCTTTGTGTAAAAGCTTCTAGAAATAATTAGATTTTAAAACGGAGGAGGCAGCTACTACGGCTGTGTTTAGATCCAAACTTCCAACTTTTTCCATCACATCAACCTATCATACACACACAATTTTTCAGTCACATCGTAGCAATTTCGACCCAAACTTCCAACTTTAGAAAGAACTAAACACACAGCCTACACACAGGCACAAAAAAGGCATTGCCGTTGCAGTGCAGAACAAAGCAAAGGTTGTGCAATGCCAATGCAAATCCAATGCAAAGGTGACCATGACTCACCCTTTGTTCTGCAGAATCTAGCTATAGCCAGTGCAGTGCAAAAGGATGCTTGCAAATGCAGTGCAACTTTAATCACTTTGCTGCAGGAGAAAAAACTTTCTGCTCCTCCCTACCTCTGCATCACTTTCTGGTGTTGAAGTGGAATTGGATTCCAGTTTTTTTTTTCTCTCTTTTTTTTTACTGTTCTTTTTCTTCTTTTTTGTGTCAGTGATTTCAGGTTAGCAGGTAGTAGTATGTTACTGCCGGTAGAACAAGTACGTACAATAGATACGATCTGAATACGTGTAAAAGCGAGTAGGAATATTTCAGAGCTTTCCTTCTTCTGGACATCGCCAAAGGAATAAGGAATTTCCTTTTTGTCCATGCATGGTCAACCGTTGGTAATTGTTACAAATGGAACAAGAAGAGGAAATTCCTGCAATGTTGGTTATGACCACAGCTTTATAGTCCCACTGATCATGGTCTAATTTTTCGACTATGGAATTGAATCTATTGTTACATCAAAGATATATTCGGCCCAGTAATCGCCTTCTAAGCGCATTTTAAAGGTTGTTTCTTGATTGATATTAATAATTTGGCATTTTTGTATGTTAGCAAGAAAATATTAATATTTGAGTTGATCTCAAGGATAAAAGATTTTGATGGAATAACACTTGTTTAACACTAACAAGAACCCTTATATGGAGTAAAACACTCATTTTGATTTATTGTGAGTTACTCCCTCTGTATCAAGATATAGCAACATAGTACTAAATTAGACAACCTAAGAATCTAATACTAAGTTGTCATATTTCGAAATGGATATATACTCAATAAGGCCCAACTAAAAGCAGCATAATTCCTTCCAAAAAAACATCATTGATTTTTGAACCTGTAGCAAGCAAAGCAGTGCAGTATTCAATGTGATCTAGGTGCCTGATCAAATCTGAGAATTAATCATTTCTTGCACAAACTAACTAATGTTTCGTTTTCAGCATGATGCAAGATCCAAACCCCTTCTTCCCTTCCAAGCATGCATAGTATAACAATTCTTTTCCAATGATGCTTTCCAACAACTTCTTAGCTCCTAGTTCAATTCCTTTCTGTCGTCTCCTCCTTGTGATCATCTCAAGGTCTCAGTCAGCAATCCTCCTTTTTTTTTTCTAAGTCTACCTTTTTGTAGTTACATCAGGTATTAGGTTGCTCTAAATGAGACACTCCATGCCTAGTTTAATTAGCCGGCGCTGATTTTATTAATATGACAAAAGTGCTGTCCTGTCCTCTTGCATCACTGAATTATTGGTGCCCAAAACTATTTGTAAATTCTGTCCCTTGATAGACCAGGTCATTGTGTCACTTGATGAACAACATGAGTGACATTATGGTTTTCTTTAGACTAGTAGTAGTATGCATTAAGTTAATCCGTCAGTGTCATGACATCAGGATTGCCTATCCGAAAGGGAGAAGACTGTCAACAGTCAAGTCCAAAACTGAAAAAGGGCAGTAGAATGAGTCGTAAAATAGCACCCATAAATATATAGAAATGACGAAAAATGTGTTCACAATCAAGGCGAGAACCCGTGTGAGTTTTAAATATGTTGAAAATCAAACCGGCGGATTTCTTCGGTAATTTATATATACATGATGAAATAAAGGAGCAAACAAACATGGAAACAGAAATATAGCTCAGAGAAATAAATGATTCACATGGTAACAAATATGCAGGACATGTATATTAGAAGTGAGTGATACGAACCATCGTCAGCTGCTGCATCTTCGCAATCAAACTTGGCAGAGCTATGATGGTAAACAAACGTGTCAGCATCCAGGGGGACCGTTCCATTCTTCAAATTTGAGATGATGATCTGAAACCTAGCCGTACGTGCAATAACATTTCTTGGGTTAATAACGGTGTTAAGCATCTGGAGGTACAAATTTTGTTCAAATTCTGGCAACATATGTATGCATTCTCAAGTAACTTGAATTATTTTCCTATGCTACAGAAAGTACTTCTTGTTCAAAACAATTGAGACAGAGTAAAGATAATTGCAAATAACTAAAGTTTAGATTGGCCCAAAATTTAGAATTTGGTTGAAATTGGAGACGATGTGACTGAAAAGTTGTGTGTATGAAAGGTTTGATGTGATGGAAAGTTGAAGGTGTGGAAAAAAAACTTTGGAACTAAACACACCCTAAAAGTAAAAACGTTCAAATCATCTAACAAAGTCAGTATGAATCATTAACAACAAAAGTCGGTGGTCAGTACACCATTTCCCCATCTAACTGCAAATGCATTCGCAGTGCATTCATGTGGCCAGACCAACCGACCAGTGTGAAGAAGCAATTCAATCTTGCCCTAAATTTCTCAGCATTCAAGTTGCCGTCAGGGTGGTCGTAGTACCACCCAGGCACAATCTGCACACAGACTGCAAGGCATCACCTTTTACCGTTCTCCTTTTGCACAACAATTTATGTCACCATGAATGATGATGATGATTATGATGATCAGCACATGGGGTAAAATGAGCGAGCAGCAGCTGAAAAGGTAGTACCAGGGCACAAAAGCATAGGATCTATTTATTGATGGACAATATATATAGCAGCTGCAGGCTACAGCGTAATGTTGTACACAGACACACAGCAGGCAATGAGACAATCTGGATGGGCCACATGGTTTAGATAGATGGACACCCAGATTGAGACTGATCATCAAGCACTATTATCAGAACAGAAATGACATTCTTTCCGCTAATCGTCGATAAATTCATCTATTCTATCTACCAGGGAAGCATGAATTTGTTTGCACTCAAACAAACAAGGCAAACTATCATAAACATCATAATATACAACAACTCCAAGCAAAGCCGTAACAACATGTGATGTGTCACTCTAGATACCTCTTTTAACTCCCAAGTCCCAGTTCAAATGTTCAATGCTAGACTAATTAACTTTTCCTATTACTAATAGGGATAACATAACCGTTTGCCGTAACAGCCAATAAAAACATTTAGCATAAGTTCAGAAGCAGTAACAAAACTATTCAGAGTCCGATGAGTTGCCAGTATCTGATTGCCGAACGCTTCGTTTGGTTGCCTGCTTGGATGCATGTGCAGGCCCTTCTCCATCAAGGAAGATCACTTGAGCTTTCGCTAGACGTTCCTCCAGATCCTCAGTGCTGAAATCATCTTTACCACCAAGCTCATCAAACCCAACCTGGGAGGACCAAAAGAATTCAATACCCTATTGCATTGTTCATGTGCAGCGGATGAATAGATTGCAACGAGCATCCTTACCACATAATCCTCAACTTTGGTGTTCTTTACCAATGCAAGAGTTGGGAGAACAACAATCCTTAGTTTCTCTGTCAAAAAGGGAGCCTTTTCAGCATGAACTTTCACAAAACGTGTTTCTACATGCTGTTTCGCGAGAATTGACAAGTGCTTGTCCATAACCTGCAGAACAAAAAAGACAAAAAGTAAGAATATTTTTGGCTAGTCAAGAGTAAACAAGATGTTGCTGATAGCACCTATTCATTATCATTGGACCTAGACTACCTTGTTGATGAAACAACAGATTTTGTAAATATCCAGGATACTGGGGAAGTAAACAAATCAATCTAACATCAGTGAACCAAGCCTGGGGCCAACTTGGCTAGGAACAAGGTTTCTAGATTTGAATCATCCCATCTTAAATACAGGGGCAGAAATAAGTGTTATTTCTTCACATCATATTTACAAGCATAATCCAATGCATTAAAAAGTCAGATGCATATGAACAATAGATTTGAACTTATATGAAATTAATCAAGGTTCATATGCAATAAAAAAAATCTCACCAAAGTACAAAACAATGTTCATAATATTTCTTATTGCACAAGAGGAAAAAAAAAACTGAGTTCTAACTAAGCTCCCCGGGTAGTCTACTGTGTGTGGGTCTTGGTAGGAGGGCTCAGGCACTCCTACTTTGTTTTTTCTTTGTGTTGTGTTTTTCGTATTGTTTTTCTTCCCCTTAATGAAATGAAATGCAGCTCTCCTGCGTTTTCGAGAAAAAAAAAACTGAGTTCTATGGATAGTATGGAATACATTCATACAAGTGGAAATAGTCTGTCACGCCCTTAACTCGTCAGTCTAATCAAAATTTGTTCACTAGGCTATTCATAAGATCTTACATGGACAAAAGATTAACTGTTGGTGTCCTGTTAGAAATGATACTGATGAGCCATGCACCATTTGGTAGGCACAACCTTGCAACACTCCTTGCAATGAAACACAAGCATGTTGTGAGACATCGGTAGGGAACTCTTGTGATATGAAGAAGGGCTGAAGAGAAAAGAACACTTGTTTTCATGAGAAATGTCAGTATGATGGTTTCCTGCAATAGAGCATCAAGGGAAATGTTGCAACTATACTAATGATCAGTAGGGATACCCAGAAGTCATGGCTGAAAGCATTGCCACTAGTGGAATGGACACCGCTCTAAGGTGTCAGAGACCTTAAGTTATCCTTCTTCAGAACCCTAAAATTCTGTTAAGTGACTAAGACTTTGCTTGTCCGACCATAGAGTGCTTCCAGTCTGTTGCCACGGCTCTTACTAAGTCCTAGTTCTGTTGTTTCTAATCCTATAATAACTATTTATTTTTAAACTAGTTAATCAAAACATTAACAAGAGAAGCTCCACAGCTTAACATGAGCACCAATGCAAATACAATAATAAAACGATGCACTTAACAACTCCACAATACACAGTCAAGAGTCAGAATACAAACCATAAGCACAATTCATATTGGTATAAGGACAGACAAAGAAACCTGAGGATGTGTCTCAGCACTACTTTAAGGGGATATTAAAAAGATAACCATCACATTTCTTCTAAATAAGGAAAATGGAGTTGAATCAACATAGAAAAATACTTGGGAACAATAAGTGAATATTAATGGAAACTCAAACATTTATTTGCATATATTCATGAACATTTAGAAATACAAAGCATCACCTATATTGATGCCTTCCCATAAGACGGTAAGTTGGTCTGGAGTAGAGGAGGATCAAAGATTTGAAGTCAGGGTAGCAACATATGGGAACTTGATAAACTAGACAGAGGGGGCACATATAGGACTAAAGGTGGAGATCCATAACATATGGGAACTTGATAAATTAGACATGAGTGGGCACATATAGGACTAAAGGTGGAGATCCATCCACCATCAGTTTCTCCACCACATCAGAAATAGCAACATGACAGACAAGGAGGTAGGCAGACAGAGAATAGTAGAGTGAGCAAATAGATGGGAAAAGTAAAGGGAAGTGGAGTGATGTCACAATGAGATTCACTTGCTTGTCTTCAGCAGCGCAATAATATCCACAATTCAAGGCAAAAGGTGTACAGTCTGAGAAAAAAGCAGTAATCAAGAATCTGTAGACCATGCATTCTTGTTAGCTCCTAATACAAAATATAGGAGTTATTGTGTTTATATTCTCCAAGGGGTAAAATTGTAGCTCTCACAATTATTCCAAGGGACACATGAGCAAATCCATTTCCGAACACATCAACTCCTCTAATACCATCAGGTGCAATGGCACATGAAGCCAGGTTGTTGTACTACTATCAAGTATCAAGCTCCACCGGATACCACAAGCATGTGGCAGCATCTCTGGCTGGCACGCTAGCTCTGAGCCTCTGAATCACCTACGCTCACTTCCTATCCCCTCCCAAATCCCAATCAGCATCAAGCTGCACAACTTATTCTTGGACACCACCACCTAATATTATATGCCGAGATGAAATTTTGCTGCATCGAGTGGACTACCAAATTTCCTACAGTAGATAGGTGTGCAAAACCGTGAAGTTAATCCTAATTTATTTACCAATGCATGTTCATACAACAAATAGATAAAACTTGCGGGCGTACCAAACGTAGGATGGTTCAGAAATCAGAGTTCCCAAAACACTTTCAAGTACAGAATCAAAATATTTTAAGAGAAACCGGTTGATGACCAGGTAGAGTCATGGAGGATTTACCAGATTACCATCAAATCAAGCAATTATGAATAGCTGGGCACAACGAACATGTATATCAAGCAAAAAGGGCTAAATTGAGTAGCACTTCCAACACAAGTAATGTAGGTCAAAATGTAGTATTGCTGCTTCTCTTTTAATGATGATGCTTTTCAACACCGCTAGATTGCAAACTGTGTTAAGAGATTGAGTGTGCGGAAATAATATAGTGGTACTTTCAAGCAGCTAGTAAAATATCAAAGTGCCTTAGGGCCTCATCGTTTGGCATATTCATATGCTTATCAGCCAAAATTTGAATTTTCAACGTTAAATTTGGAGCTGATTTTGGGGTTGTTTTCATCGAAGTTTATTTTTCAGCCTTTGCTTTTAGATCGCTAAGAACACATATATAAAAGTTTTATTCACAAATTGATTTTTGTTTGCAAATATGCCATTTGGCACATTCAGAAAATATGTCAAACGATGAGGCTGTTAAAGTATTGTTACTGTATGTTTGTTCAAATCACATATCCAAATGTAACACCTAATATTTTTCATATATGTAAATTTTGAGACTCTAACTGCCATTTCAATACTTATTAATAATATTGTGCACTGCACCTACAATGGTGGAGAAAGAAGACATGAAGATAAAGTATTGTATTAGCTAATCGTTTACACTTTAGCAGTGTGCAATATTGTAGATTTTTTTAGGGAAATAGGCCAGGCAATGACAACATTGTTTAATCTTCTCATCACTCACCAATTATTTCAAGTCCAAGAATTGGCCAGTTTTTTAAACCATCCTAACATAGAACACTCTAAACAAGAAGGAACAAATCTAAGATGTTTATAATGTTGGCACCACCAATTACTGGCAGAATGTTTGTACAAAGGTCATCTCACTCCATCTCACAAGATCCACTAAGATACCCTGATGATGATATGAAGTGGCTATGCGCCTTTTGGGCTAGAGAGGAGGATCACCACATTTAAACATGGAATATATGATGCCATTGTACATGTCAACATCTAGATAATGCCATCACTTATGTCAGCACACAAATGAGGTTATTGCTTGCGTAGTCACCATTTTTCTTGTACAATAAGCCATAAGAGTACTGAATTTTACCAGTTTCTTCAAAAATATGAGTTATAAAGTTGAATGTTACAACCTATATTAAGTTATAAGCTAGTTGTAAAGTATATCTATACAACTGAAGATGAACGGTCAAGGGTTATATGTCATAGGGATGGCAATTTTACCCATGGGTCCAGGTATCTGTGGGTACCCTACCCGATGGGCACGGGCGTGGGTGTGACTTTATCCATGGGCACGCCCGCCCGGGACCCGAAGACGTCATGGGCAACAGGCGGGTTTCATTTTTTACCTATGGGTAACTGATGCCCGACCCGATACATATGTATTAGCTAATTTCAACTCATTTATTAATTCGTATACCATTTCTCTTGGTTCATTTGTGATGCTAACTGATACTAAGTTGTGATGTAATTCAAAATATTGTTGATAACCAATACTTTGGTAAATTATTGATTTTATTTCTCTATGTTAAATTACATATCTTTCAAGTTATTATTCATGTGAGATCCATTGGGTACCCGCCGGACATACCCGCGGCCGCCGGGCATGCGCCGGGCATGGGTACGGGCGTGGAGTTTTGCCCGCTAACTCAGTGGGTAGGGTTCGGGCGGGCAATGTCGGGCATTGGGTCGGGCATGGTTTTGCTCTACCTGTGCCCGACCCAACCCATTGCCAAGGGACTTGGCATTATGAATTTATTTGAGCTATAAGCTACTCCCATGATGAGGGTGTCATACCCATTCTTATGAGTTAGTGCAGCTAACATATAGGTCAGGGGATAGAGTATTCATATGAAGATCTTGATTGCTTTTTGCAACTGGAAATTGAGGCTTCAATTGTTATATTCACTGTGTGATTCAGATCCTCTAAAGTGGTGCAAGTCCATAAAATGGAACCAATCAATTGGTGAGCTCCGTACTGAATTGCACACATTCACCGACTGCAAATGCCAAGATGTTCAAGAAAGTTCACTTTCACTTCCTCCAACTTATTGTATAAGGAAGATGAAGACCTGAACACGAACATTAGCTTTGCCAGTGACATAAACAATGACCTCATATGTGGGTTGACATAAGCGCTGGCATCATTTAGAACTTAAAACATATATGGTGACTTCATGTACTTCATGACTAAATATAGTGATTGAAACCATCGCTTGTCTTCTATCAAGCCAACATAGTCCTCGTCTCTAGCTCAACACGTACATAGGCATCGCATATCTTCATCACATCTCTTATTTAAGTTTGACTGAGACTATGAGGTCCCTCATGGCATCGTACTCATTGAGATCACCTCATCAAGTTCATTGCCCAACACAGCAGGAGTGCTGTGCTTATGGAAGGTAGGCAAACAACATCAGTGTCATTTTAGTGGAATAAGCAAGTGGCAAGCATGTAGCACAAGCTGATACATGTGAGGGGCTGGCATTTGGAGAGGGTAACCAACAGCACAACCCATGAACTAGAAAACAGAGTGAGCACAGGCAGCAAGAAAAGGGAGCTGAGGATGGGCGGAGAGCAATTGGATTTTTTTTAAAATTATGGCTGAATTTAATATGCAATGCTGGTTACTTAAAAACATCCATAGTTCATTGTGTTTCAAATCCATACCTTAATGTTCCGCGTCATATAGCTATCAGCAAAGATAAAATGCTTCAAACCAGTATTCCCCTAAGTAGCCACCTAGCCTACTTACATGTTGCCTAGGAGGTAGACATCATCAACCTACCAAGCTTGCCTAGCCAATTTATCCTGCCTATGCAACCCTATAGCTAACCTAATAAGGGATCATCCTATAGGTGCTGGTGCTAAGGATGCAAGTGTGCCAGCCCATTTAACCAACATATAGATTACATGTTGGTTAATGGGCTGGTTAACTTGCATAGGCAGGCACTAGCCTGCCACCGAACTTGTGCCTTGGAGAACATTGTTTCCAACACATTGTATACATCACCCCCTAAAACTGAGAAATTTCATTATATGCCACTCAATTCGTCTGCCTTTCAGAATTTGCCACGAACTCGCAGCCCCGCCAGCAAATTCTGAAAGGTGCACGAATTAAGTGGCAATTTCTCACAACATGCGGATTGAGTGGCATATAATGACATTTCTCCTTAAAACTAGTCCACAGATTAAGTAGCAGCACTGCTTAGTTTTTTTATCTAGCCAATTTCTCTCAGTACTCTCTGCTACACATGTTCTATAGGCGCCTCCATCAATCACACAATTATCAGCACCTCATTGCTGTGACACAGTCTTCCAGCAAGCATCATTGCACCAAAGAGAACCAAGCCATATGGATCTGTCCCGGACAAAGGGAAGCTTGGCAGCTCCATCATGTGGTCAGAATGACACTCTTCAAGATACACTTTGAGCATTAGAGCTCTTGCAGGAAAACAAAGGCACTGAAGGCAGGTTATGCAGCTAGATCTGGATCTTGGACAGCACTGCCAAGAGGCAACATCCAGATCCGCATGCATTCACCCATCTCACCCTCCTCTCCTCTCCCTCCCTCAGCTGAATCTATCCTTGGAGTGCTCAATACATTGGTACATTGCAACGAGGCAAACCATGAGCGCTGCGAATAGGTTGATTTGAAAATATATTCGGGACATAATTTTTTTGGTAGAAATATACTGTCGGTCTCGCACAACCGATGCACGAGAATGACATGAGCGTGACGATATAGGCGGTCTCGCACGGCGATGGCACGAGACCGCGCGGTGTCACGCAATGAAAGCGCGAGACCGCGCAATGTCGCGCAATGAAAGCGCAAGACCACGCGGTCTCGCACGACGAAAAAGCGAAACTGAACAGTCTCGCACAATAAAAGAGCGAGAGCGAACGGCTTGCCTAGTAAGCAGCCACATAATTAGTGACTAATTACCTAATTAGTGATTAATTAATAATAATTAGTAATTAATTAATCCATAATTAAATAACTTGAACCGCCCCAGCCATTCGGTCTCGCTCACTCATTATGCGAGACCGTTCGGTCTCGCTATTTCCTCGCACGAGGCCGCGCGGTCTCGCTGTTTCGTTGCGCGATACCGCGCGGTCTCGCGCTTTCACCATGCGATACCGCCTGTGTCGTCACGCCACGTCATTTTCGCGCAATGTTTGTGCGAGACCGACGATATATTTCTGCGAAAAAATTTGCATCCTGAATATTTACAAATTAACAGTATATTTACAATTTAATTCCCTTTTTTCCCGTCATGGATAATCTACTCCACTTAGAAATTTCATTATACGCCACTCGATTCACAAGCCTTTCAGAACCTGCCACCCAGTTCTTGCGACTTTCAGAATTTGCTCCTTGGCAAATTCCAAAAGACTTGCGAATAGAGTGGCATAAAATGAATTTTTTCCTCCTCTTTGGCATACCACATACTCCCTCCATTTCATATTATAAGTCGTTTGACTTTTTTCCTAGTCAAACTTCTTTTGATTTTGACCAAGTTTATAAAAAAATATAGTAGTATTTTTAACACAAAACAAATATATTATAAAAATATATTCAATGTTAATTTAATGAAACTAATTTGATATTTTAGGTGTTGCTAGTTTTTTCTATAAATTTGATCAAACTTAACAAAGTTTGACTCGGAAAGAAGTCAAACAACTTATAATATGAAACGGAGAGAGTACAATTTAGCAGCCTTAAGGTTGTTGGACTCTAGATGTGTTAAGTCTTTTAGAGGTGGACCAATCGTGAACACATTAGTGGAATGTTTCATTCCATTATAAAGAGGCAGAACCAGAACAACAAAGCGCCTAGCTGGATCGCTAGCAATTTGACGGTAAGAAGTTGAATAACATGGTAGATACTGCCTGGATGGAGCTAGCTATCACATAAATTGCTGGGCCTCATTCAAGGAATAAAAATTGAAAATATATGTTGTTTCCTAACTTTTTGTAATTATATACGTGTTTTCGAAAGATTTGTAAAAATATACGCATACCGCGGTATGGACATGCACGACCGGTTCGTCGGCGCGGCATGGATGCGTGGGACCGCCGGTCCCGTGGCTTGGCTGCGCGCGACTGCGCGGTCCCGCAGGCCGGCGCCGCGCCACCGCACGGTTCCGCAGCACGGCCACGCGCGACCGAATCCAGGAACAGCGCACACTCGCTGCATGCACTGCATATATACGTGCGCATGTAATCAAATCAGTGCAGATTTCAGTTGGCTGTAACGGGTGGCGCATGTCCCTGCTGCGGAACCGCGCGGTGGCGCGGCGCTGGCCTGCGGGACGGCGCGGTCGCGCGCAGCCAAGCCGAAGGACCGGCGGTCCCACGCATCCGCTCCGCATCAACGAATCGGTCCCACACGTTCATACCGCGGTACGCGTATATTTTGACAATTCTTTCGAAAACACGTATATAATTGCAAAATGTTAGGAAAAAATGTATATTTTCAATTTTTATTCCTCATTCAAGAGCCAGGCGTATTACTATGACTAATCGTGAACTACTGAACTCACTTGAAGGTCCGAACTTGATACGCGAAAAGCCAATCAAATCACTAAATCACTATGTGATCCACAGCGTCAAGAGCATTGAAACCAAATGTATGTTTCCACGAGATCCACACCTAAACACAGTATTTACACCCCAGCTAAGCACAACTTACTTATTTCTACAATCTAATCCGAGATCCAAGCAAAATCTTAACCCAAAAAGGGGATACATGCCAAAAAAAAACAGAGAGAGAAGGCAGAGGCGCACCTTGCAGGGCCAGTTGTCGCGGTAGAAGTGGCAGACGAGGCGGTCGCTGGCCTTGGCGGCGGCGAAGAACTCCTTCTCGGGGACCTCCCCGTACTCGCCGTGGCCGAGGGCGCGCCACTTGGCCCTGCGCTCGGCGGCGCGGCGCATCTGCAGGATCCGGCGCTCGCGGAGCGCCTCGATGTCGTCCGGGTCGAGGCGGTCGAGCGCGGCGATCTGCTCGTCGAGCTTGTCCTCCACCGCCTTGGCCACCGACAGCACCTGCTTCTCCAAGATCTGCACCGCCCTCTCACCGCGTCAGGGGGATAGAGAAGAGGAGAGGAGAAGGGAAGGGAGGGAAACGGGGCCGGGCTCCGCGGCGGCGCGTGCGGGTTACCTGGCCGACGATGGACTGATCCATGGCGGCGGCGGCGGGGGGATCGGAGCGGAGATCGGAGGGGGGAAGTGGGGGATGGCGAGAGCTTCTGGAGTGGTGGTGGTGGTGGTGGTTAGGGAGGAGGGAAGAGAGGTGCGGGTGGGTGAAGAGAGAGGGAGGATATATGGGCTGGCCGTCGGGTGGAGGCTACTGGGCCGGCCTCGAAGCCACGAGTTAGCTTCTAGAACCTCTCAGGATCGGTTTGAACGAGTTTTTAGCAGCTGCAGACAGATTACAAAACTACAGTATATGGTTATTATCATGTGGTTCTGATGAGAAGCTCTACTTATAGAATTCAAAAAATAAACTTAAAAATCAGGAACCAAGAAACCCGGTTTTTTTATATTCTCAAAAACTGACTACCAACTAACTAACTGCTTCTTAGAATCTTAACGTTCCCAAAGAGACACTCAGCTTCAGCAAAGGATTCCACTATAGAGTAGTGAACAGTTCAGCATATTCATGAGAGGGCAAATCGGCCGTGAATCTAAAACAAAGAATTACCCCATTGTCTCGTGTGTGTATATATTAGTAATAAAACTTACCATACATTTGTCTATGTTTTCATTTTAAATCAAGTATTTTTGCTTATTGTCGTACTTTAGGGTGTGTTCGGATCTCCTAGCTCCCAACTCCCTTCCATCGTTTTCCGCGCGCACGCTTTTCAAACTGTTAAACGGTGTATTTTTTCAAAAAGTTATATACAAAAGTTGCTTAAAAAATCATATTGATCCATTTTTGAAAAAAAATAGCTAATACTTAATTAATCACGTGATAATGGACCGCTCCATTTTCCATGCGGAGGGAATGAGTTCCCAACCGCCTCTTACGAACGCACCCTTAGACCTCTTCCCTCTATATCTTCTTCTTTGCATCGCTCCATTGTCGGCTCATCTCCGTCCTCGAGCTTGACATTCGCCTCCTCTCCAGCTCTCATCCTCCCATCCCAAAGCTTGAGCTTCCTCTCCACTACCAGTGCACAGAGACAAGCCTAGGGGGCTTGAGCCATAGGCTTGTCCCCTAAACTCCTATTTAAATCTATTAAAAATTAGTGAGAATTTTGAAAATATATGGTGTATATGTAAGTTGAGCCCTACTCTTACAGAGTTGCTAGCTTCAGCCAGCCACTTACCTTTCCATGATTAAAGATGGAGGCCAGGTTCAAGTTTTTATGTGGAGGAGAACGTGGTTGTTGCTCCTATTTCTGAAATTGAAAAGCAACACCTATAACACACTATAAATGCTAGTTTATTAAAAACCGTTACTAACAATATCAGTATCTGACTTTTAAGAAAAAGCAGTTGATCAATCAGCAAGTGTAACATCCCGGCCTAGGGCTTAATAGGATTAATAGAATACTCATATCAACAAGTTACAACTTCTTTTCCGGAAACCAATCTCTAAAGAACTCCAGGGTTAAGCGTGCTTGGCCTGGAGCAATTTGGGATGGGTGACCGACCGAAAAATTCTTCCCGGATGCACACGAGTGAGGACAAAGTGTGCAGAAAAGACATGTGTTGGTCTGTGAGGGCAGTCTATGACCTATGAAAGCTATCAGATGTAAGCGGGCCCGGCCTGGGGGAAGGCGGGACGTTACAAAGTGGTATCAGAGCCGACTCTCGCGGTTTCACGGGCGCGTGTGTCGCAGTTGCGCAGGCATGGTGCGCATGGCTGGTGTAGACCGGGAGTGGTTACACAGCATGGGCAATTTGGGATGGGTGACCGACCGGGAAATTCTTCCCGGATGCACACGAGTGAGGACAAAGTGTGCAGAAAAGACATGTGTTGGTCTGTGAGGGCAGTCTATGACCTATGAAAGCTATCAGATGTAAGCAGGCCCGGCCTAGGGGAAGGCGGGACGTTACAAAGTGGTATCAGAGCCGACTCTCGCGGTTTCACGGGCGCGTGTGTCGCAGTTGCGCAGGCATGGTGCGCATGGCTGGTGTAGACCGGGAGTGGTTACACAGCATGGGCAATTTGGGATGGGTGACCGACCGGGAAATTCTTCCCGGATGCACACGAGTGAGGACAAAGTGTGCAGAAAAGACATGTGTTGGTCTATGAGGGCAGTCTATGACCTATGAAAGCTATCAGATGTAAGCGGGCCTGGCCTGGGGGAAGGCGGGACGTTACAAAGTGGTATCAGAGCCGACTCTCGCGGTTTCACGGGCGCGTGTGTCGCAGTTGCGCAGGCATGGTGCGCATGGCTGGTGTAGACCGGGAGTGGTTACACAGCATGGCACATGCGCTGGCACTGGACACATGGACGTGGCCAAGAGAGGACGTTCCTGGCCTAGGGTTGATCGACGGGGGCGTCGATCTCTCTTAAGGGGGTGAGGGTGTAACATTCGATCTCTCTTAAGGGGGTACATCCCGGCCTAGGGCTTAATAGGATTAATAGAATACTCATATCAACAAGTTGCAACTTCTTTTCCGGAAGCCAATCTCCAAAGAACTCCAGGGTTAAGCGTGCTTGGCCGAAGCCAATCTCCAAAGAACTCCAGGGTTAAGCGTGCTTGGCCTGGAGCAATTTGGGATGGGTGACCGACCGGGAAATTCTTCCCGGGTGCACACGAGTGAGGATAAAGTGTGCAGAAAAGACATGTGTTGGTCTGTGAGGGCAGTCTATGACCTTTGAAAGCTATCAGATGTAAGCGGGCCCGGCCTGGGGGAAGGCGGGACGTTACAGCAAGCCAGCCGATCCCCTTGGCTCTGCACGTTGTCCTGTTCTCCACCACTCGCCCTCCTCCTCACCCATAACACATCCTCTCTCTCTCTCTGGCAGGGTGGCTTGCGAGTAGGATGTGGGTGAGGGTGTGACAGATCTGGTCGTTTAGAGCTTAGCGGCAGCTTGATGGGTAGGCGACAACGATGGCCGCCTAGAGATCAAGTACTGCTAGATCTGTCCGCCTAAAGCATGGGGTTAGCTAGATCTTGCCGGTATACGGTTGGTTTGACGACGACATCCCCCTTCACCAGCACACCAACGTTTCCCTCCCATTTTGTTTGGCAATGGATGTGCCCACTCTCCAGCTTCTTCTCCCTCATGTGATTTTGTGAATGTTGACTTTGTGGGAATTGGGGGAGTGATTGGACAACATGTCTAATTATATTCCGTGAATGTTTTTGTGGTTCGGCTCGATTGGATGTTGCTGTTGTGATTACAATTGGAGATTCTTGATTCCGTTTTTTGGGGGTGTTGATGCGAAAAACACACTGGCCTAGAAGATCTGCTTAACTCCTGTGCAGGTCCAAAATCTTGCCTTTAGGTTCATGAGCGTGCCAGTTGATTTGATCTTGCAATCAACAAGAATAAAAGACAAGAAAACGAGGTTAAATCCATAAACGATAGCCGATCGGCTAGTTGCCGATGACATATCATTTATCTTCGAGCCGATGTCATATTGGAATCAATTGGCAGTAATGAATGAATAAGATAAAACCAAATCTACTCGATCGGCTGTATATATTAACGACATATAATCTTTCCTCCGATGTATGTTTAAACTAAGTGATTGAGATAGATCGGTCACCATGCCGAGACAGTATAAATCACTTAAGTCGAAGATACATTAAAGCAAAGATTATATAACTGTTTATAGCATAGCCGATCAGATAGATCTAGCATGTATCGGCTAATACTCCGATACCGCTTTATACTAAGATATTAAAACAAGCGAAATATATCAAACAAGAAGCCTAATATACTCTAATGCAATAAGATCTTAATATAAAGGGCAGATTTAGCATAACAATCAAGCATATAAGGATAAATATAGCTAAATCAGGTAAGATCGGCTGAAACTCCGACGCTATCTCTATTGATGATCATGAAACAGGCTAGATATCACAATTATAAATATAACTTAATAGATCGAACTCAACCGATATAGCATTAAGCATAAAGATAACTGTAAGATCTAAACAAGATAATAAAAACCTCTGAGAGATGGTAGATACACGATATAATCTAGATTAATAACGAGATCTAACTCTATCGGCTACTTTTTGATAGTAAGAACCAGCCGATCACAAGTTATATAGCGCAACTAATAAAGATTACAAAGTGTATATGATAACTCACAAATTACATAAACAAGATTAGAGTGTCATAAAGATGGAAGCACTAATCCCGAAAACGCAAGCCGTCATGACAAGTTTACCTCTAGTTGAAGATCGAAACCAATGCAGCTCAACCCGAAAGCAAGAACTCGTCGAAATAGAACGAAAGTAAAAGGGTGGCGATGCGCCGAAAGTGTTTTTGAACTGTATGTTGTTGTTTACATTGGGTTTGGGTCATATTTATACCCGAGATACATGATATGTCCTTGCCGGACACGACTCTTATCTCTAACAAAATCTAAGATACACATAAGTCCGGCAGACTTTTGCCCAAACATATATCTAAGGAAACTATTCAAAATATCCTAATTAATAGATACAATTGCCTATCTGAGAACTTATCTCTATCGTGGCAATCCTCATGAAGCACGTTGATCGATTCTAAAAACAGTTTTACAATTGTCTTCATCAGAATTGGCTGTATCGGTTGTCCTCTGTCCGATCCATCTCAGCCGATGCAGACTCTAGCCGATGCCTTCGCAGCCGATGCATACTCTGTTCTTCGAATCTAACTCTTTGCCAAATCCACTATGATTCCAACGCCGAACCTGCTTCATAACTTACCAAAAGGGTGGATAAGTCGACTCATCAAGTCGCGGCTTTCTATTTTGTTTTTTAACTTGTGGCTCCTGTGGGTGTCGGTTGTCAATCTGGCATTCACGAACTCTCCCGTCATGAGTAAAGCATCGATTTAAAATCCGGCACTTATACAGTTTTTTGGAACTAGCATATGTTTTTTTACTAGTGAGTTAATGTAGCAATATATTGCCACATTGCCTCTCAATGCTACGACAACACCAGATCTAAATAGGATCAGTAACTTAATACCAAAGACTATTGCATTTTAACATTGTATTATTGAGATATGGTCCGATATGTCAGGATGTACGATGAAATACAGACCTACTCTGTAGGGGTGAAGCAATACATAATATTTCCCGACCCGTACATTACTTACCATACCACCAATCCTTTCCACCTTGCACCCACATGGTACTCCCGTATTGTAATGGGTCCAGATCACCTGGAGTTTAGGGACAACTCCACCAGGTGGGTCTTAGCTTTTTTTTTTTCATGAACACGTAAAAAGATTTTATTAGAAGGAGAAGAGTTTTGACATAACGCAAACAGTTAGAAAGCCATTGTTGGGGGACATGGAAAAAAAAGGGGAAAAGGAAAAAAGAACTGAACTGTTACGGAAAACTACTTAAAGAAAAATAAAACTCCTATGACGAGGGAGGGTGGAGGCGGAGCCCCACTAAACTCCCAGCAAGTCCTCAATAGCAGCAACATCAGTAGATGATCACATACAATCTTTTTAAATGATGGACTCCAGGGAGCGAGTAGTCGAAGATCCTAGAGTTCCACTCCTTCCACAGTTATCAGGATACTAGCAAGTCCTCAATAACAGTAGCATCAGTAGATGATCACATACAGTCTCTTTGAAGGATGGACTCCAGGGAGCGAGCAGTCGAAGATCCTAGCTCGTTCTACAATTATCAGGATACTAGGAAGACAAGGGAGTCGAAACCCTTTGACTTCTACGGCTGGGATCATGGCACTAGCCCTTCTTCTAATTAGCTGTCCTTGATAATATAGATTTGGAGGAAAAACTACTAAACACTTTAGGTATTCCCACAATAACAGTGGTTATTCCCCGGCCAACACAATCAACGAAACAACGTTGGCCATAAAAAACCATCTAAATAAACATTAGTATTCTGTCCTTCACCATGGCTGGGGGTGGAGATTGTCACGCCCTGATAAATCCATCTCAAATTAAAAATCATTCTCTAAAAGGAATAATAGAATTAATTAAAATTCGAAGTTAAATTGGCAAACATTAAAATACGAACAAGAAAAATTTGAATGTGGCTTGGAGTGTTTTTATTAAATTCTCTATGCTCTAAAATGTCTCCTCTATTTTTACTTGAATTTTCAAAGCACAAGAAATAATTTAAATGCAACAAAAACCAAGTTCAGAGTTAATTAAAAATGAAAAGCTAAAAATAATTCTCTTTGGGCCATTTTCAGCCCAAACTCCTCTTGTCTTCCTCTCTCTCCCTCTCCCTCTCCTTCCCGGGCCTCTCTCCCTCTTGGGCTGCAGCCACCTCGGCCCAGCCTCTCTTCCCTCTCCCTCGGACCTAAGTCCATTCCTCCTCCCTCTGCGGCCCAGCTGGTCCAGCCGATGGTCGTCTTCCTCCTCCAGCCGACCGCTGCCTGTTCTTCTCCCAGCTGAAGAACAGAAGCGCCGCCGTCCCTCTTGATCTCCCTCCCCAGTGGTTTCTCCTCCAAATTGAATGCAAAAATCGGCTCCTATCCACAGGAGGCACAAGTTAAAAAAATCGCTGAATTTACTCTCCGATGAACTGCAGCCATTGATGGCAACCCGGCGAGATCTCCGGCCGTTTCTCTCCTCTCCCCGGCCGATCCCCTCCTCCTCCCCGTCCTATAAAAAGGAGTCCCGACCCCCTCCTCTCTCCCCACATACCGCAGCCCTCCCCCTCCTCTCTCCCTGGCTGCCGCGCCGCCTTCTTCTCGCGTCGCCGCCGTCGCGCAACTCCGGCCGCCCCTTGCCGGCGGTCACGACCTCCTCGGAGCCCAGCGTCGCCACCATACGCTCCGCAGCAACGTCCTCTTCCCCGGCCTCATCTCCGTTTCGCCCAGAGGCCGCCGGGAGTGCATCCTCGTCGGCAACCAGTGGCGCCACCGCCGTCGTTCTCCTCCAGTCGGCCCTCACCGTCAAATCGAGCGACGCTGCAGCGCGCCCTTGCCTCCACCGGCATCGCAGCCACCTCCTCTTCCTCGGCCCAACCTCTATTTCTCCTGGAGACTGCCGGAAATTCGTCCTCACTGGTGAGCAGTGGTGACGACGCCTTCATCCTCGTCCTCCGGCAGCCCTCCCTCGTCGCTGGAGTGCTGGCTCACTGCACCGTTGCTGCCGTCGGCTTCATCTCGTCATCTTCATCGTCGGCCGCGCCTCCTCGCTGCCCGAAGACCCGTGGAACATCGCCCCGTCGCTGTTGCCTTCCTCCAGTCGTCGTTCCTGCCAAGACGATGTGCTGCCCATCATCATCGTCGTCAAGTTCGCAGCACCAAGTCCTCCAGCGTCTGCCTCTTCGTCAAGCCCAAAGATCGTCTTTGCCATCCCCTCGTCGTCGACCCGTTCATCTCCGTCGCCCTCCTCCGTTCGTCGTTGCCGCGCCAAGGTCGTCGTCGGTCGTCTTCGTTGTTCCCTTGCCACGTCGTGCCCGTGGTGAGAACCTCTTCCTTCGCTGCCCTATCCTCGTCCTCCCCATGTGGTCGCCGCGTGGATTGCTCACGTGGTAGTCCCGGCTGCCAGTCGCTCGATCCTTTCTTTCTTCGAGCGATATTCCATTGCATATAATTTAATTATATAATAATAATAATAATAATAATAATAATAATAATAATAATAATAATAATTAAACAACTCGGAAATATCCACTTTAATTGCACTTAAAATTCGGATGGTCGTTTCTCGGCCATACGCGCTCCTAATTGACCCGTTTAAATTGTTTAATTTCTGTTATAACATAAAGAGCCTATGTTTGTTGTTTTTATGTGTTGTTATCGTTTCTTCCTTAGAGTTGTAGCCCTACTTTGTTGTTCGTATAGTTGTCTTCGTTTCGGAAGTATCCACTTTGTTGTTCGTGTATTTGTCTTCGTTTCGGAAGTTCCCCAAGTGCAGACCAAGTCATCAGAAGACCTTCTCTCCGAGCAAGGCAAGTCATACCATATTCCTTGAACATGTTGAATCCCATTATTGCAAAAACTATGTTTTTTTACTTCTATATGCATCGCTTTTATAAATTATATAACGTTCACTATTGTTTATTTAATAGTTAATAATCCAATGTTCCTTGCTAGTTGCTCTAGGTTGGGCTTATCTATGCTTAGATCCAACATAGAATCCCTTGTTATAAATTAGACTGTGGGTAACAACTAAAATATGTAAGAATGATGATTAGGAGGCTGGTTGAGCCTAGACATGTTGGAATCTCATTCAAAATTCCCAAAACATGTTTTTGGTGGGGGCGCGAGGTGCATGGTTTTGTTAGAAGCATCTCGGCCACTATAAGGACCGATCTTCGAGCCTTTGTTGCGAAGCATAACAGTGCAACCACAAGTCTAATGGGTAAGGCCTGACTAGAAGTCTAGATCATCTCAAAACAAAGGCCATTGGTATGATAGGTCTGGGGCCAGGGGAGGCCGACTTTGACTTGGCGCAAGAGGGGGCCTGTCTCATCTCGGGGGATCCGACAACCTTTACCTTGTCGGGGACCGGTGGGTGGCGAAACCTTAGCGGGTCCTTCTGTTTTGGATTGAGCTAGGTGGATAGTCTTGTCACGATCTTGACTTTTCGGGTACCTTTTCGGTATCGCGATGCATGGCTGACATGGAGTCAAGTATTGTGTCTTGTGGGTAAAGATGTACACCTCTGATCAGAGTAAAACTATTCGAATAGCCGTGCCCTCGGTTATGGGCAAGCCTAGCAATGTACCCAAGTTAGTGTTTTTCTTCTATGTGATGGATGGAATTCATGGTACTCTGGACAAGTGGTTAACCTGGGTTTAAGGCCGATTTGCGTGGTTTCGCAACCGTAATAATATTGACTAGATATAGGACCGAGTTTAAACTATGCTTTAAAAACATTAAAATATCGCAACTTTGGCTTTACGCAAAAATGAGCCCTATTATGCCAACTAAAATTTTGGCCCGGCATGGCGTTTTGGCCCGGCCCGTCAGGGGTCGGGCCCGTGCTGGCCCGGCCCGACCATCGGGCCGTGCCTAGGCCTCTCCACCGGCACGTTTGGCCGGCCCGGCACGGCACGATGGGCCGTAGGCCAGGCCCGACACATAAACAATAGGGAGTAAAAATAGACATATTATATGCCACGGTCGAAAGAATAGGAACGTAAAATAGACTTATTTTCGCTATATATATATATATATATATATATATATATCACAGCCCAAAGAGGAGGGACGAAAAATAGACTTATTCAAAAAAAAGCATGATGGGCCACCCGCGCCTTCGGGCCAGCCCGGCACGGCCCGACGGCTAGTGGGCCGTGCCTGGGCGGGAGGCGCAGCCTATGGCCGGCACGGCCCGGCACGAGGTGCCGATTGGGTCGTGCCAGCCCGATGGCTGGTGGGCCGTGCCTGGCCGGGCCTTTTGGCCATCTATAGCTGAGTACGGTGGTTGTACTAATTCTTACTCGATCTTTTCCCCTCCAGTCCGAGAAGCTGTTTGAAGAAGTCTTAGGTGGAGTCCTGGCTTATACCCCAGTTGAGCGCCTGTGAAGATGGAGCCGTAGGCCCGCTAGTCCGGTGCTATTTTTCTTTTGTTGTCAGTCCTTATGTGTCTTTGTAATAATGTAAATATTATCGTGAAATTAATAAAGATATGTCTTTTGTATCAAATTTGTTGTGGTGTATCTCAGCTTTTACTGGGACAGGGATTAATATACTAACGTTCGGGAAAGGTATTTTTCGGACGTGACAGAGATAGCCTTTGAATCTTCAGCTTGAGGTGATGAAGAACAATACACGCCAATCACCATGGCTGAACTCAAGCTCGATGACCAAGACGCTTCGTCGTGCGTGGCTATGCCAGGGAAACGACGGTCTCCTGCTTTGGTAGAGATAAAATGCAGTCGTTGTAAGAACATAGGACTGCATTTTTCAACTCCACGTAGGCACAGCTCCACGTCAGCACGCCGTGGCCGCACGGCAAGCGAATCCATGTAGAACACGACCCGGCCCACGTAATTGGCAGCCCAATACCGAGACGAAATCCTACCGGACTTCCTTCCTCTATTGCGATCCGTCGCGGACGCGAAATCAAATTTCTGGATCCAATCCGTGACCAACCCGAGTCCGATATGTTTACTACATACTCCTCCACCGCACGCTATATATATATTCATAGCGCAATCGCAAGAGAAGTATCCATCGATCGATCTACCAGCTCTCGCAAATTCGAAATCGCAGGTTAGGTTTTCGACCGATTTTCTCATCGTCGTCGATTTCGAATTCCACCGAATCGAGATCACCATCACCATGAGGTTCGTGTCGGCGTACCTGATGGCCTACATCGGCGGCAACGAGAGCCCGAGCAAGGACGACGTGCGCGCCATCCTCGGCTCCGTCGGCGCCGACGTCGACGAGGCCAAGCTCGACCTCCTCTTCGAGGAGATCGCCGGCAAGGACATCCCCGAGCTCATCGCAGCCGGGAGGGAGAGGCTCGCGCTCGCGGCGCCCTGCGGAGGCGTCGCCGCTGCTGCGGCGGGTGGTCAGGCCGTCGCTGCTGGCGGCGCCGCCGCCGCCGCGGAGGAGGAGGCTGAGGAGGAGGAGAAGAAGAAGGAGGAGGAGGACGACGACGGCTTGTTTAACCTCTTCGACTAAGCCTGCGTTCTTCGTCTTAGATTATTATTGCTACGTGGTTTAGTTTTGTTAGATCGTCGATTTTGATTAGTGCGTTTGATTAGTGGTGTTTATTATGTCTATTCGATCAGATGGATGCTTTTAGATAAATATACCTTTGTGTTTATGTTTATCTGATATGTACACGTTCTTATTTACATTAATTAGACCTATATATCTTAAGCTTCTCATTACATAGACCAGTTGATGAGATTTGCATCGTGCGATTCTTCTGATTGAGAACGACTCTATATTAACGCGCAGTGGCAGTGGCGAAGCCAGTGCCTCGGCGACCATAGCGTTTTCTGATGATCCACTGATCTATCGGCGGCGGTAGATACCGCAACGTCAGAGCTGTCTCCGCCGCTGCATAGTGCCGCCATCAATATGGGCTTGTTTGGTTTGGTACCAACTTATTGTCCTACCAAATTTAAATTTGATAATTTTAATAGTAGCAAATATATATTTGGTTTGCTACCAACTGTTTTTTCACAAAGTTTAAATTCAATACTACTCAATTTAAGGTTTTGGCACTACCAAGATTTTAACATGGTAAAAAACAAATTTTTTTAGCAAAACCGTAAAAGGGCGACGAGAAATATGCAAGGCCCAGCTCAGCCCACCACGGCCCATTACCGAGAATAACAAGTACCCACCTCCCGAGAGAGAGCCCACCACCAGCAGACGCCCCCTCCTTCCCATTCCCCATCCCACACCGGCGGCGGCGGCGCGAGCAGCGGAGGAGATCGGCAGCGACGATGTCGGCGACGACGGCGGCGGTTCCCTTCTGGCGCGCGGCGGGGATGACCTACATCGGCTACTCCAACGTCTGCGCCGCCCTGGTGCGCCGGTGCCTCAAGGAGCCCCACAAGTCCGAGGCCGCCTCCCGCGAGAAGGTCCACTTCGCCATCTCCAAGTGGGCCGACGGCAAGCAGGAGAAGCCGAGTACGTCCTCTCCCCGCTCCCCTCCCCCTCCCGGATCCTAGGGCTTTCCGCGCTTCGATTCGGCTTTGCCTTGTTTGTTCTCTCGTGTGTGGCGACGGGATGGATCCTTAGGGTTAGGGTTCGTGGATTTGGGGTGGGCGCTGGCCTTCGTCTAGGTTGATCTGGTGGCTGCGGTGATGTCAGTTTGTGGTCATCGCTGCTTCCATCCACGGGGGTAATTGATGGGCGGCGCCGCGGATCTGATGCCAAGAACGGTTGGAACGTGATGCGTGGAGATGCTACCGTGATCAAGAAACCACATTTTTTTTCTTTGTGTGAGCTGTCTAAATTTGTGAATTTAGCATTTGGGAGACCTTGGGAGTGTGGAGTCTAGAAAGGATGGAAGATCTAAAGGCAATTTGGATGTAGGAATAGGAGGGTAAGAGATGCGATATTGGGAATTGGGGTTTAGCCTACCCATATCTCGTTACACCTTTCTTATTCCTAAATGCTGCTGATCTTAGAAGAAAAATAATGGTTTTTTTTGTGACAATGAAAATCGTGATTTTAGGTTGTATACTATTGAAAGTTCCTGGTACACTTTAATACCATTGGAAGATTGCACCATTTAAGTTTCTTTTTTTTTGTTACTGTGGTTTTTTGCATGAAAAAAAAGAAAGAACAGGTAATGCTAAACAGTAATAGATAAGTGGATGGGATGGTAACCAACTATGTTGTGTTATCTTTCGGTGGTATTAAAGTGTATCAGAAGCTTTTAGTGTATAAAGCTAAAGTCACAATATTTAGTTCTAAAACAAATTTCACCAGAGATTTGAAGTTTTGAACCATAGCGCTAACATGCTCGTGCTTATTGCATGAAAATCTAGAGTCTTGTTTCCCTCTCTGAGCCATCCATAAATGTTAGTGTAAAATTGTAACTATATGATACGAGTATGTAATGAAACCAGTCAACAATCTAAAAATTTTTAGGAACTACTTCCTCCGTTTCATATTATAAGACTTTCTAGCATTGCCCACATCCATATATATGTTAATAAATCTAGACATATATGTGTGCCTAGATTTATTAATATCCATATGAATGTGGGCAATGCTAAAAAGTCTTATAACTTGAAACGGAGGTAGTAGTTAGTAGTATCACTTTCTGGAAACAGTGGAGATGCATAATCTTAAAGTAATCATGATATGATGCTGAATAATTACCTTGAAATACATTCAAAAGCTGGTGGAAGTTATGGAAATTAAATGATTTCAGAACTATATCTTGTTCTGTACATTATTTATCTATCCTATAATCCTATAATTCATTCACCAACTCATTTTACTCATCATCATCATCATTGGACAAGTCTGACGCCCCTCATTCATCGGAATCATCCAAGGGCCTATAATTGAGTAAAGGATCCTCAAGAAGAAAACACATCCTCCCAAACGCCTTTTCATGTGGTGTCGGGGCTTTCATGGGTAGTGCAAATTGCTCGCATGAATATGAACGGTAAAATGGAAATCGACGAGATACGACGTCCGACCGATTACCAGATCGCCGATTGTGTCCAGCGCCAATTAGCGTTTGCCCTTCCCCAATCCTCGCAGACCCAACAGATTGTGCGTGCTGTGTGCCTCGCCTTCCCTCACACGCCATTTTTGCCGGATCAGCTAATCACATTCCTCCTCTCTTATCTTCATCAAGCAGCTTCTAGCGTTTTGCGGTGGCTACTAGCGCTGCAACAATATCTTGTTCTATACATTATTTGTTGTTTCACAATGCAAATACCACATCTTGTGCTAAATATTCTTCAGGAGTGAGGGACAGAGGTGATCATAGCACAATCATAAAAACAAGCACAAACAGACCAACCAATGATTGTTAAATTAAATATGTGCACATGTAAAAAGAACCAATATTTCCATTAAATCCGAAATTCTGTATCTTTGTGTTCTATTAGAGGACAGAGAGGATTCATGAAATTCGATTATTTATAAAAACATAAGAAAGTTTCTTCTTCACTTTAGCAGTACTTTACAGCCTATTGAATGCCTCAAGGTGTGCCATGAGGCTAATGCTCAACCCTTGATAGCAGTAGCACGATGGCTGATGGCATGCTTAACTGCATGATTTCATTGTGAACACTGAATAACACCAAAAGCTATATATGTGGTACTTGGGTGATCTGTAGGACCATAGAATAGGGATCTTTGAATTTTGTGTTAGTGCCATCCACATAATTCCAATCGGGAAACTTTTGAAGTGCAGAAACTGCAGAAGGATGAAGTGGCTGTTTATTGTTCCTCGTAAATATTTGCATATAGTACTGATCTTTAGTGTGTTTTTGATGATCCAAGAATGCTTGCATATATATCTGCTACCTCCTTGACAACACTATTGCTTTGCTTTGGTTATTTGTTCTACAAACTTTACAAGCAAGATTCCCCTCTGTTTTTGCTTTCAATATTAATAGTGCCTATTTTTTTCGCATCTGAGTATTAATGGAAAACATGTATTAAATTACTTGAGTTTACATCCATAATTTCTTTATCATTCTTTTGAAACTAATATCTGGTTTGTTCATGTGTGCAGCTGTCCGCACAGATGATGAATAAACATTTGGTGCCATGGTGACATAGTTCTTCCTACAGATGTTTCAAAAATGTTCTTGCCTTTCTTGCGAGCCGTTGTACCTGAAACTTGCTGTTATCTGGCTGGATTTTGTGGTCAACGCTGAAGAATAAATTCTTTCTGTGACAGTGGATCTGTTTGTCATACAATGTTATTATCGTTGCTAATTGCCCTTGCTGTACTCGATCAATGATGCGAACTCTTGGTACTCAAGTGAGCGTGATCTACTTTATGCAATTCTTTTATGGATGAATTTATTTTGGACATCTGGCCAGGTAGCAGGAATGGCACACGGTCATCTGCTGCTAGCGTGCGCCCTGGCCCTGGATCTTTTCAATTTATGCCAAACACATCCGGTGCACTCTTGTGTCATATTTGCAATATTTTCAATCATCCTTCCACTGATCGTCATATTTGCAAACCACCGATGATATAATTTGCTGGTTCAAACATGAAAGGAACCTGATTATGGACATTATATTTCCTTTCTTTACATGGTACATATATTACTCAACTCACAAAAGACTAATGCTCTGTGCAGCTTATAAAAGCCCTTCCGGAGGAAGAACAATTAATTATTCTTGATGAGTTAGTGCGTCTGAACAATCTTAACATCTTCATTTGTAAGTATTGATACAATGTATGACAGCAATTCCTATGTTGCAGATAACTACAGTGCCCTCCAAGCAAATGTTGTAGATTAGAATCTGTGATGAAATGCTTTAAGGGCAAATGTTGCGGATTAGAATATGTGTTGAAATGCTTTAAGTTGTTTTAAGACTGTCATATTAGAGTTAATTAGAATCTATTTTCTGCAATCAACCTCATATGTAACCATTCGTAGTACAATAAGATATTTAATTTTTAATATCAGTTAGATGCCAAAGGAAAGTATAGTACTAATTAAATTAAATTTATGACGTGGGCATGCATGTTACATAATGTAATTAAGAACAAATTTGACCTAGAATTTTCTAATATTATCTTATAAGAACTAATTCACCTCGAATTTTCTATGGAAATATGGATGCTTTTAAATCTTGACAACAGATAGGGATGTGCAATATCTGTACATCTTAGATAGCCACCTTGATATCTTTATCTGAAAAAAGAAGTTTAGATGAATTCCGCGACTTCTGATTGAATATATTTTAGTTAAATTCCATATGAATTAAGTAAATAATTTGAGACTGACACTGTGATATCACATATTTCATGGTACCAAGCCATTCTAATTAGTGCTGATAAGGTCGAACATATTTCAATCATGTAGCTCCTTGATATCAAGTGTTCATCTGATTTACTGTTTTTTTGGTGAACTTGAAGACATCAAGAAGAGTAGTAGCTCAATTGCTGATTAATATTTTTGCTTGCATGACATCTCAAAGAAGGATTGAGAAACTACTCTAATTAACTCTAATTAAGCAACGGAAAGCAGATGAGCTAGTCAGTCTTATTTGGTTACTGGAGACTATCATAAGAGATGGTTTGCCTTTGCTTAAAATTTGCACATGTATTTGAATAAAAGAATTGTCTATGTGGAATTTTACTTGCGGTTAACCTATTACACCGTGTTGGGGTTTTGGGGGGGGGGGGGGGGGGGGATATCCTGAATAGGCGTTGTTTGTGTTCCTATAGAGCTAAATGAGTATCATTTTCAATTTGAGCTTTTGCCATCGGAAATGTCTATTTTTTTAAGGCAAACCTCATAGAGGATAGGGAGTGCCTGTTTTGATTTATGAGAAAGAGAGAAATCCAAGTCAAAAACTTCAAAATTGCGCGGTTAATTGGGGGGAAACCAGCCAAAGACCCACACGAGGAATAAAACAGGGTACATGCAGCAACACAACTAAAGTTCGAGACATGTCATCGTAGCCAAGCAGGGAAATGTCTACTTTTGAATTCTCTTTTCTGTAGATATATTTGTACATAAAGCATGTAACATGATGGTAAGGTTCGCGCGACTTTTTGATCTAGTATGAATTTGATTTCTGATTTTAGGAAGTTACTTTACCTTTACGTCCGGATCAAACGAAAAGGAGAATTCAGAGCTGTTGGAATTAATCTGTCGAAATTTGAAAATTCTCACTGATTTGCTGTATCGATCGAGCGATCGGGGACGGCGATGGTCACTCGACGGAGATCTGACACGAGGGGAGCACTGTAAAATCTTCGATAAGATGCCAAAGATGATAAGGCCTCTGATATATACAGCCACTATATACAATAATATTCGTCTTTGCCCTGATGAGAGATGATATTGATCGAGCTGATGGATGCAGTAAAATTATTGTGGCAGCTTGCGACGGGTGTGTTTCGACTTTCGACCAAACACAGGTTCTAGGAGTTCTCTGTAACCCGAAGCAACTCGTAGATAAGATAGAAAACGTGAGTTACTGAAAATAAAATGTAGTGAAAACTAAATAGCATAAAAAATGGATGTCTGAACTAGTATCGATATGCGAACAAATATCGAATGTCTATTTTCTATTTTACGATAGTTTTCGGTTCTTATTACATATGTGGTTTACACTGCAATATTTCCTGAGTTGCTAGCTAGCTGCTACTACCGTTCAAACTCTGAGAACATATTTGCTACGACTAGCAAAAAAAGAACCACTGTATTGTAAAAGCCTCCTATTTTGAGCTGCAAGGCTTTTCCTGGTTTGTCGTGAAAACGATCGAGCAAATATTATTCCCCGTGATGTTTACTCCGGGAAAAATTAAGAAAGTTGCCGCATTCCAAACCAGAAATATCCAGGGCGAGAGAGAGAAGGAGATTCGTTTCGTGAGGCGGATGGGCCTTTGCAGCACGTGCGCAAGCCCTCCTCCTCTACCGGAATAATTAATTACTTCATCTGTTTCATATTATAAAATTTTCTAGCATTGTCTATATAGATGTTAATGAATCCAGACATATATGTGTATAGATTCATTAATATCTATATAAATACGAGCAATACTAGAAAGTCTTATAATATAAAACGGAGGAATTATTTGCTACGTCTCGAGAAGCTGAGATTCTTCTTCTTCTTCCTTTGGTTGTCTTCTTCTTCTCTCTCTGCATCCAACCGCTCCGCTATATATACCACCAGCCGAAGCAGCCATTGCTCCTCACCACCAGAGCTCTCTAGCTAGCTAAGCACAAGAAGCATAAGCAACACAGGGATTAATTCATCTCACTCAGTAATTAAGCTAATTAAAATCTTGGACCATGTCGGACAAGTGCGGCAACTGCGACTGCGCTGACAAGAGCCAGTGCGTGTAACTACTTACTCCTTCGATTCCCACTTCCAGATCAGTTAATTTCTTTCAATTTTGCGGTTTGATTCGGTTAACGTGGTGATCAATTTGCAGGAAGAAAGGTACCAGCTATGGCGTCGTCATAGTTGAAGCCGAGAAGAGGTAACTAACTCAATATCGATCAACCAAAGCATATTTCCCGTCCGAATTTACATTTATTCTTCTTTCCTCTCAAACACATACGATACGATTGATCCTGTCGATCTCAAAAGAGATGTGTAGCCAAATTATATTTATACCACGACCTCCATCTCAAAATAACTCTTTTAAAATAAATATTTTTAAATTCATAGAAAATAGTCAGAAAATAGACATACTGCTAGGAGCACAGCGCGTACTTCGAGCACCTAAGCAAATTCACATAGACCCACGTAGCCCACATCCTCCCACTCGATCCCCATGTCCCCCCACCCCCCTCCCCCACCGTTCCTTTCGCGGATAGTAAACTTTTTACTACCTTACTGTTCTTCACTGGGTCCACCATCCCCTTCCATTCCTCTCTATTTTTGGATCTGAGCACCACTACATTGAGAGGGGCTGTTTCTAGCGATGACATTGAGGGGAGGCCGTTGCCAACGACGGCGACGGCATTGGAGGACGCTACAGCAGCCGCCGGCAGCCATTGCTATCGGCTTCATCCTGCTCACCATTACAGCCAGGTGGTGAAGGGAACGCAGCCGATGGTGGCTTAAGGGTGTGTTCGGCACCCCTTTTTCCAACTTATCTTTATAGTATTCCGCGCGCACGCTTTTCAAATTGCTAAACAGTACACTTTTTACAAAAAAATCAAAATTAATCTATTTTTGAAAAAAACAATTAGCTAATAATAATTAATCAAACGCTAATGAACCGCTTCGTTTTTCGTGCGGAGGAAATGAGTTCCCATCCTATAGATGCGAACACAGCCGGAGTGGTACTCGTCGTCAATCGGAGTCCGGAGAGCCCCTATGCAGGTTGATGCCGGGAGAGGGACAAAGCGCTGACAAGTGACAAGGAAGAACCATAGCGGCGCCCCCAAGCTGCATCATCTTCGCAGCCTGGTTGCTAGTTAGGGATGAAAACGGATCGGAAACAGACGAAAACTAGCTTTATCATATTAGTTTTTATATTTTTTTTCTGAATCGAAATCAGAATCGAAAACTCAGATACGGAAATGAAATCGAATATTATCGAATACAGATACGGAACGAATATGAGACGGAACGAATACGGGACCGAATATTTACCGGTATATAAAAAGCCCATCAAATTGAGTTTCTCGATCAAGGAAGAGATATCACTTATTATTTTAGTTCAACATCTCCGATATTTATATCGTCAATTTTGTAGACGGTCCTACAACCACATGTGAAATCGATTTTCATGGTTGTTCCTCTAAGAGATCCATATGCAAATATGATTATGATTTTCTATTCTCAAGAACTTTTACCATATGCATAACTTACTTGCCATTGTATAAATTGGAGATGTTATTTATTTTACTTTACATCTTCGAAACTTGTAATATTTGTTTTATGCTTTAAATGCTTTCAAATACAAATATTATAAACTACAAAGTGGTAGATCCTGTTGAGCTCTACAACTTTGATATGGAACATATCTCCATCAGATGTCGTTTGAATTGTAGATCTAAGATTTTGTAAAAATTAGTATGGTATATTATAATGAATATTTAGACCTTAAATGACCTCAAATAATAAAATAGTCAATAATAAAGTTGTAGATCTCATCGAGCTCTATAATTTTGATATAAAGTTTGTTTTCATCTGATTCCATATGAAAAATTTATGTATATATACGTGTTTTTTCTCAAATTTACTCAATATCTGCGGATATCCGAAAAAAATTCTGGATAGTTTCCGACCGTTTTCCGATTCCGATTGATAGTACCCTTACTGTGTTCGTTTTTGTTTCCAAGAAAAAAAAATCCGAATACGTTTCCGAATCCGAGAATTTCCGGATAGTTCCGACCGAAATTATCCGAATCCAAAAAATGGTCCGAATGAATAGAAATTATCCGAACCAATTTCATCCCTATTGCTGGTTGCCGCATGCTCCCAGCCTCCCACTGCTCTTCTCATCCAAGTGCACTGTGACAATGGCGTAGGAGCGTAGTACTGCTGGACTGGGGGTGCTACTAGAACATGCCCTTTTTCTTTTTTTTTTCTTTTAGTTTTTTCTCTTTAATTTTCTTCTTGCTGGCTGTCAGCCTGTCATATATTAAGGACAGTGAAAGATAATTGTGTTTTGTTCCTGAGAACCTAGCGTTTTTTCTGTTCTTGTCACTAATTAAACGTGTTTTTTTTTTAATTCATAAGGTGATTCAATCTAACAATATATGCGATAGAAATATTACTGATCGTTGTTGATGGAGTAAATGAATTACTAATACTTAATCTGTGAGGATATAAAGATAAAATAGTAGGATCAGTGAGTACTATGGAGAATTGAGAATTGCCAGTAATTGTTTTACCATGGTCTCGAATGTTCTGTAGTACGAAGTAATTGTTTTACTTAAGGGCCTCATTGTTTGACTTTTCTGGTAATAAGCCAAAATGGCTTATTATATAGAATAAAAATAAATTTGTAGGTAAAACTTTTATATATGTGTTCTCGGTGATTTAAAAGCCAATGCTGAAAAAGAAACTACGTTGAAAATATCTTAAAATCATTATCAAAATTAAGTTTGAAAATTCAAATTTTAGCTTTTTTTAGCTGAATAGGACATCCGATGGGAGTCTAACCGTCTAGAGGCCTGACTATAGTAATTATTAGAAATAAATGGGCATAAAGTTTACCCGGTGATGGTTAATGGATTTCTAATTAATGTGATTACATTGTTGTAGAGTAATTATGTTACCAGGAAAAATGACTCATAGTAATTATGTTACTCAGAGAATAGATAGAAGAAAACAAAGGACCTGTTGGAGGAGCACAAGCTCCCCTAAATAATCTAGTTTTTATCCAGATTTTGAGAAGTTGTAGTTGTAGAATCCAGAAAATAAACTAGAAGTTGAAGTTGGGAAATAACTTTTCCATATCTAGTCTACTACTTAAAAAATAAGAGGTGCTTCCATCGTCCGTCAAAAAATCCGGGTGAAAAAAAGAGTCCGATCCAGAAAAAAGGAGAAAAAAAACCGTGAGAAAAAAAACTTCCGATCCAAAAACGGAGCGAAAAAAACCAAAAATCTAGGAAAAAAACCGAGGGAAAAAAACCAGGCGAAGAAAAGAGTCCTATCAAAAAAACGAAGAAAAAAACCGGGAGAAAAAAAACGTCCGATCAAACAAACGGAGCGAAAAAAACGGACCGGAAAAAAAAACAAATTTGTCCGATCCAAAAAATACGGGGCAAAAAAACAGAAAAAACGAAATGAATTGGTAAAAAAAAGGGGCGAAAAAAATTTAAAAAACTTTCCGATTCCAAAGAAAAAGGAATTATATGTGACACGGTAAAAAAAATCAACCGGACGAAAAAAAAAGTCCAATAAAAAGGGGCAAAAAAATAAAACAAATATGTACGATCCCAAAAAAAGCCAAAAAAGGGGAAAATCGAAATGAATCCGACTCCGTCGACTTGGTAAAAAAAAGGTGAAAAAAAATATAAAAAGTCCGATTCCAAATAAAAATAAATTATATGTGACGAGGTAAAAAAATAGAATTTTTATATCTAGAAAGGTCCAACACTATAAGAAAGGTGAAAAAAACCGTTCGTAAAAAAAATACACTAAAAAAAATAAAAAGGGCAAAAAAAAAAGTCTAATTTCTATTCGTCGTTTTAGTCGTCCATTTATATCTCTTCTTTATCTCTAATTTAATCTAATCTAACTATTTAAAAAAGAGAAGTTTCTACCGTATATTAAAAAAGAAATAAATGCGTGAGAAAATAAAAATGGTTTAAAAAATGCGTGAGGAAAAAAATGTCAGAAAAAAGCACAAAAGAAAACGCGCTAAAAAAAGTTCCATAGCCCGTAAAAAAACACACGAAAAAAAAATATTTCCATCGTCTATAAAAAAGCAAAAAGAAGCATACGTGGAAAAAACTATTAGAAAAAAGCACTAGATTGATAGATACGTGGTCGGATAGTATCCATCGACTTTTTTTCCATCTCCTATACGATTTTTGTTTCGTCATCTATTCTCCTAGGCAATTATCATACTATTTTTGTGAATATAGCTACTATTCTTGATAGCATATTATATGAAATAATCTTAGAGAATAAACATATTTTAATTGTTATATAGAGAAGAGTGGACAGTGACTCTATTTTGTGTAGATTTGACTATACGAGGCAATGTAGGATTTGATTGGTTGCAAGAATGAGATTAAAAGAATATTTTAGATTATATGCATGTTGTTATATGAATAATCATATTATTTTAGGTAAAGAAAACATCGTAAGGTTGCCATCATCGAGGTTGGACTATTACATTTAAGATGTTCCAATTTTCTGATTTTCTGATTGTCATCGACATGGTTATGCATGAAAAATGTATATTATCATTACGTTTTTTTCACCCATTGCAACGCACGGACATGTTTGCTAGTACTACTTAAAAAATAAGATGTTTCCTTCGTCCGTCACAAATAAAAAATAGCGAAAAAAATAAAAAAAGTCCAATTCCCCTTATAAAAAGGAAAAACAAAAAAAATCAGAGAAAAAATAGCGCAAAAACAAAAAAAAACCGTAGTCCGATTCCCCTAAAAAGGGAAAAAAAGTCATTTCCTTCGTCCGTCACAAATAAAAAATAGCGAAAAAAACTAAAAAAAAAGAAGTCCGATTCCCCTTAAAAACGAAAAACAAAAAAAATCAGAGAAAAAATAGCGAAAAAAACAAAAAAAAAACCCGTAGTCCGATTCACTTAAAAACGGGGAAAAACAAAAAAAAAAGTCAGATTCGAAAAACAGAAAAGTGGCGAAAAAATAAATCCGATCCCTTAAAAAGGAAAAAAAACTACTCCATCCCACGCACGGTTGTTCTGTTTTTCTTTCTTTTTTTCGTTTCTTTTCAGTTATTTTCTTTCCTTTTTTTCGTTTTTTATTTTGTAATACTACGTATTATACAAACTTTATATACACGTATATAAACTTTGTATACATTTATATTTTTTATATGTTTGTATATAAACTTTATATACATATGTATCTCTACTCCCATCCCTACTTAAAAAATTCACATAAAAATTCACATATACAAAGGTTCTGTTCGATTCCGTGGCAAAAAAAGGTTAGTAAAAAAATAAAAAACGAACTAGAAAAAAAAAGGGCGGAAAAAAGCGCGACAAAAAAGTTCGATTTCTATTCGTTTTAATAGGCTGTATATATCTCTTCTCTATCTTAACTAACTAAAAGATTTGTATTTTTCATTTCGTCACCCCCTCTATTCGTCCTATTCGTCCCTCCCTCAGATCCCAATCCGATTTTGATTTTGTTAATGATCGAAAAAATTAAAAAAGAAAAAGAGAAACCCAAACTTCTAACACCAAAAACACCAAATATATCGACCAAAAACTCCAAATACATCGAGTCCGTCATCGCCACTCGGGATTGGGTTGGGCACCGCCGCCGCTGCCGCCTGCCGGTGATAGGGGAGGGCGCCGCCGCTGCCGCCGGTGGTGGGGGGAGGACGCCGCCGCGCTGCCGGTGGTGGGGGAGGATGCAGCCGTGCCGCCGGTGGTGGGGGAGCCGCCGTCGCCGCTCGCGGGGGGAGGACGCCAACACCGCCGCCGCCGCTCGGGGGGAGAGGCGGCGGCGCCGTCGCTTGGGGGGAGGGCGCCGCCGCCGCTGCTCGGGCGCCGTCGCCGTCGTCGCTCGGGGGAAGCTGCTCGGGGAGAGGCGCCGCCACTGCCGCTTGGGCTCCGGGCGAGAGGCGGCGCCGCAGTCGCCGCCGCTCGGGGAGGGAGAGAGCGGTAAAGGAGGGGGGATGGGGTGGGAATGAGTCATGGGGTTAGGTTTTGGGTGTAGTTATTTAGGTTAGGATTAATCTGGACCGTCTATTCGATCGGACGGCTCTAGCTGCTCCCGCGTCGGGCCGCTGGCCTATTGGGCCGCCGAATGAACCGTGTGGTCGATTTCAGGAGGATGCAAAATGGACTTCAACAGAGAAAGGAAACAAGCCAGATACATAGAATAGACATAAGGGAGAGAAAATAAACTTTCTATATTCGGCTCAAACCTGAAAGGGAGGATTTTGATTCCTTTTTCCAATTAAATAATTGTTAAATGAGGTTTGTATTATTAAAATTAGCAATTAAGCTCTGAAAATTCCAATAAAATTCCAAAGAGCTTAACTAAACATGGAGAATTTAATAAAATTAAATTTAACCTGTCATTTTATTTCTCATACTTATTTATTTGTAAGTTGATTTTTTACATAAGGGAGGGAAACTTTCTACGTAACGTAAATTTTTCTTAACTTTTCCTCAATTTTCTGGTCTGTACACTTTCCGTTGCAACGCATGGACACTTTTACTAGTACTCATAAAGCTATAAGCTGCTTCTCAAAATTTTAAGTCAGAATTGGGGGTGGAATAGGAGCGAATTGAAAAATAAAACAGGAAAATAGAAGTAGGAAGTAGAAACGGAAGAGAAACAGAAAAAAAAAAAGGAAAAAAAGGGACGTGGGAACGAGATCTGAGACTAAGACGCTCGAATTAGGCTACCGATAATTTACGTACGAGATTCATTCTCATAGAACAATTTTTTAGCTGACTCTATAATACGTACGAGATTCATTCTCATAGAACAATTTTTTAGCTGACTCTATAATTATTTGCTTGTTTTGTGCATGCGTGCAGCCACTTGAAGGAGGTCGCCGCCGGCGAGGTCATGGGTGGCCTCTCCATGGACCAGGCCTTCGTGCAGGCCCCCGAGCACCGCGCCAAGCCGTCCGTCGCCGAGGCCGACGGCATCCCGGTCATCGACCTCTCCCCTCTCTTCGCCGCCGATGGGGTGGACGTGGACGCGCTCGCGGCCGAGGTCGGGAGGGCGAGCCAGGACTGGGGCTTCTTCGTGGTGGTGCGCCACGGCGTGCCGGAGGAGGTGGTGGCGAGGGCGGCGGAGGCGCAGAGGGCGTTCTTCGCGCTTCCGCCGGCGCGGAGGGCGGCCGTGGCGCGGAGCGAGGCGGCGCAGATGGGGTACTACGCGTCCGACCACACGCAGAACGTCAGGGACTGGAAGGAGGCGTTCGACCTCGTCCCAACACGCCACCCGCCGCCGCCGCCGCCCGCCGGGGTGCTCGACAACAAGTGGCCCGACGACCTGCCGGGATTCAGGTCGTTCGGTTCACTGACATCGTCTTCTTCCTCGCGTCGTCTAGTTCCTCACCAAATTCTTGAGCAGAGAAGCAATGGAGGAGTACGGCGAAGCGGTGGAGGAGCTGGCGTTCAAGCTGCTGGAGCTGATCGCGAGGAGCCTCGGCCTGAGACCCGACCGCCTCCATGGCTTCTTCGAGGACCACCAGACCACCTTCATCCGCCTCAACCACTAACCTCCCTGCCCGAGCCCCGACCTCGCCCTCGGCCTCGGCCACCACAAGGACGCCGGCGCGCTCACCGTCCTCTACCAGGACGCCGTCGGCGGCCTCGACGTCCGCCGCCGATGCGACGGCGAGTGGGTGCGCGTCAGGCCTATCCCTCAGTCCTTCATCATTAACGTCGGCGACATCATCCAGGTACTATCTATGTATATATTAAGATGTAGTTATATTGTAGCTTACATATAACTATAATACAATTTGTACGTAGCTTTTAAATATCCCACGGTAACACGTTATTTTCATGAAGCGGAGCTAACAAGACCTAATCTGTTTCTTTTTCTAGCTTGCACAAATCTTGAAGTAAATCTAGCGGTTTAAAATTATATGAAAGTTACATGCAAGCTATAATATAATTACATTATAATTATGCTCTTTTTATATTTGAAAAACTTGTTAACAAATATATAAGTAGTAAAATTGTATTTTTTTTTTACAATTTGACATCATTTTCATTTGCGTTTGATAAATTTTGACTGAAAATTCTGAGTGTGCTTCCCCAGGTGTGGAGCAATGACAGGTACGAGAGCGCGGAGCACCGGGTGGCGATGAACGTGGAGAAGGAGAGGTTCTCCATGCCATTCTTCTTCTACCCGGCGAGCTACACCATGGTGGAGCCATTGGAGGAGATCGTGAGTGAGGAGAGCCCGGCCAGGTACAATCCCTACTGCTGGGGCGAATTCTTCAGCACCAGGAAGAATGGCGACTTCAAGAAGCTGGACGTGGACAACATCCAGATCGCGCATTTCAGGAAGAAAGCGCTAGTTCATATTCAGTAAATACATTCAGATGATGATGCGTGATCAACAACCATAGCCTTTGCCATGTACGTCAGCATTTGCGAGATAAATATTGTTTGTGACAGTATCTCCTAAACAAAAGTATGACGAAAAAAATGATCATTTTGTCACACTCGATGGGAACCCAAGCCCCGATACCCGCCCCCGCCACCGGCGATTGGGATCCCCACCATCGCCGCCACACAACCTTGAACCCCTCCCCAATCTCGCATCCCCCACTCAAGAATCCTTCCCGCCTACTTCGCCTTTGTCCCCAATTGCTTCGTCGGCGAAGAATGTGTCCCCTCCCCAAGGTAAGCGCGTCTTCTCCCCCCATCCATGTTCAGATCTAAACCACATTCTCCACAAGGCGGCAGAGCAAGAAGCTTCAGATCTGGCTCTGCTATAGCATCAAAGCTACAAATCTGTCTTGGTCTCCATCAACGGGAGTACAAATCTATCAAATCCCTTACCGGTTCTTGTCTCTTCAAACTTAGGCCTTTCAGGAAGGGCGATTTTTTCAACTCTTTAGTGTGTACAGTGGATGGACAGTGAGTAGATGCTCATAACCTAAGCCAAGCAAGCTTCCGCTTCCCCAAGACGCACCTAGATTTTTAGTGAGGAGTAGAGCACTCAAGAATGGCAGAGTAGTCTCTGAGTCGTCCTATCCAGCTCCACCGCCCACACAGCTTGCTTCAGAACTAGGTTACCCACAATGGATGGAAGTTAAAGCTAAGTATTGGTGGAGAAGGAAGCAATCAGCTCAACACCCAGTTCTCTAAAGAGAAGTATGAGTTGAGAAGAGCTCATTTAGACATAAATGTCATCATTCTGGTCATTGTCAAACCGTTTCTTCTCTATGTCCGTAAGCATGTAGGAGGCATGGCTAATAGTTTGATCCAAAGTATTGGAGAAATCATTAGCTGTTAGATCTTACTCGCATATTATTTTTCTCTCTTTTTGATGGCCATAAATACACCCAATAAAATTAGTCCTGGGGCAAGATTTCCACTTTTTACTCTCCATAAGAAGAGAATGACGAATATGTTTTTCTCCTATCTTTTTCGCAATTCTAAAGACTTACATTGAGGAATAATGAGTGACTATTTTATTTTTCCCACAAAAGTAAGAAAAAGGGTTTTTTAACGTACTCACATATTTATGTGTTTTCCATTTTCTTGAAACAAAATAATACATGGTTTGTCACGCCCAAAAATTTAACCCAAATTTCCAGACTATTTTGCGTATTAAATCCCTGTCCAGGACCAGCCAGGGTACACAAAACGACAAGTAATATACAGTTCCAAACGTAAATAAAGCGTAAAATACTTACGGAAGAGGCACTTAGTCCTCACACCGAAACAGAACGACAGCAGCGGAAAAAGGCGATCCTAGCGGGGCTTCAGCTCCACTCCACAGGCAAAACTCAACTGGGGTCTGAGCCTTGGTCCTCTAACTCCATCTTCAGCTAAGAAGCACTACAATTCTGAAAATGGGGAATAATAGCAAGACTGAGTACAACCACCGTACTCAGCAAGCCACACTAACGATGCAGACGTGCAAAGGGATACAAGGACGGTTTGTGGCTATTTGCATAAAGGCGGTTGTAAAACATTTTATTGAGAAAACGGTAAAACGGTTGAGTAATTAAAGTAACATTAAATCTCCACTGATCAACGCTACACCACGTTGAACAGGCCCAACCAACCCACCTGAACTACAGTGCATTGGGTCGATTTATTAGGTGTGAGACTAATCACGGTGAATCTGGTCGACCGCCCATAACCGCGGGCACGGCTATTCGAATAGTTTTACTCTGATCCGAGGTGTACAACTGTACCCACAAGACACAGCCCCACGACACGTTTCCGTGCGCCGACATGCCACCACGACATACCGGAAAGAGGCCGTGACAGGACCCTTCGCATAACTCCCTCTAGCCAAGCACACCACACCTCAGGTTTCACCCCCACTCCTCGCAAGGCAGCGGGCAGTCTCCTCTCGTGCCTAGGTGAATCCGGAAGCCGCATAGGCCGTCGCAGGGCCCATCCAAACTCCATCACGCCCACCCTTGCCTGGATGCGTCAGCTAGAGGAAAGCTACACTACAAGCCCAGCCGTTGCCCACGCTGGCTTGTGGTAAGCACGATAAATTCTTCTAGGGTTTCTCGCGAACCGGTCCTTAATTGCCATGGGTGCGACTAGCAAAACCATGCACCCACAGCCCACCATTCAGTCGCATTTTAGTTGGATAATTACGACCATGAAGCATGGCCAGATGTCTCGAGCACGCAGCTCATTCTGATGCTAAAAAGGTCTAATACTGTAATTATCCCATCAACGGAGCTAGTGGTAATTAAGCATGGCTAAGCATACAGTTCTAGCTAGGTCACATAAGTAACATGAGCTCGTCGATTTATTACCCCCGGTTGACAAAGGACAGATATCAAGTAAACATGGGAGAAGCGAGCAGATAGGTAATACCCGGATCCCATGTAATTAGCAAAACATGCATATTTATTTGCAAACGGTAAAACATTTATAAATTGGGATCAACATGCTCAAGGGGAATGTGTGACTTGCCTTGCTTCTTCAAACAATCTTCCGAACTCTTATCCTTGCGACCGCGAGCTTCCGAAACGACGGATTCTACACGCAGGCATGCAAAACGAGGAAAAACTCTAATAAAAACCAAGGAAACAGTACATAAAAAGTAAACAAACATGTAGAGCTCAATTTTAGATGAATTTTGCAAGTTGAATGGCTCAATTCGGAGTTCGAATGAATTAGATATGAATTTTAGAAGTTTTGAGCCATTTAAATGAATTTATAGAATTATTAACGAATTATTGTGCAATTGTTAATTATTTTATAAAAGGAAAAGGCTTCTGCTGGCGTCATCAAAGGGCAGCGGTGCCGACAGGCGGGCCCCACACGACAGCGGGCAAGGGAGTGGTCCACCGTGGACCGGGACCACGGGGTGGTCCACCGCCGGTCCACGGGAACCGACGGCCCAGATCAGCCCGAGCTGATCGGGCGGCCACGGGGTGGCGCGGCTGAGCACGGGCACGGCTCAGGCCGGCCCGGCCGAGCGACGGCTCACGGCGGCGCGGCCTCCTGCGGCGACGGCCGACGCACGCGGGAAAGCGGCGGCGCGGCGCGGCAAGGGGATCCGGGCGGCCTAGGCGTGCGGGGCGGCGACAAGCCGGCCGGCCGACCTAACGGCGGCGGCGCACGGCCCGGTGGTCGCCGGCGGCGGCCACCGGCGCGGCAGCACGCACGGGAGACAGAGGAGGGAGGCAAGGAGGGAGAGGAGGAGCTCACCAAGGACGCGACGACGAGGGGCAGGGAAAGGCGGGGGAGCTCGGCGTCGGCGCTCCTCGGGACGAAGGCGGAACGGCGGCCCGGCGACGTAGGGTGGAGGTGGCTTGGGATGCACGGTGGAAGGGTGGTTGCGGCGATTAAATGGGGAAACGGAGCGGAGGCCGGGGTGCGGCGAGGCACGGAGAAGCCGGCGGTGCAAACGGCGCGGCGCGGCAGTGGCTAGGGCGGCGGCTAGAGGTGGCCGAAGCTCTCCGGGGACCGATGGAGAGAGGGAGCATGGTGGAGAGGTGGTTCGCGTGGTGGAAGGGGAGGAAGAAACGGCGGCCGAGCGTGCCCTTGAGGTGGCAAAGCCAGCGGTGGCGGCGGAGCAGTGCGGCGGCGACCCTAGCGACGGGAAACGGCGGCCGGAGTTCGCCGGAGTGTGGCGGCGCGCGGGAGCGGCGTGGGGAGAGCGAGGGAGAGAGTGCCGGGCTCGGGAAACAAGGGGAAATGGACGAGGGGAACACGGGGGTGCTTTTTATGGGCTCGGGAAGGCGGGATCGAGGCCGGACGTGGCGGAATCGGCCGGCAAAGTGGGGCGCCGACGTGGGGTGGTGGAGGGGTTAACCGGCGCCGATTTTCGCGGGGAGAGTGGGGGGAAAGGTGGAGGAGGTGGAGGGGATCGATTTCACGCGCTCGTGGGGTGGGGTGGAGCGCGGGAGCCGCGGCGTCGTGGGGTGAAACCGGCGGCCATGGCGGCAGTTGGGGCGACGGGAGGTTGGGGAAGAAGATGATAGGTGGGGCCTCGGGTCCCACCTGTCGGGGAGAGAGAGAGAGGGGAAAACGGGCGAGGGAGGTAAAGCAGACTTGAGGGAGAGAGAGCCGAGCGGGTCGAGGGAGGAGGCCGGCCCGAGAGAAGGAAGACTTGGGCCGAAAATGGCCGAAAGAGAGGAAGGGGGATTTTAATTGTTTTTCTTTTTATTTAGTTGGTTAAAATGAACTTGGTGCTTTTAAAATTATTTCTTGAGCTCCGAAAATTCACGGAAAATTCTAGAGAGTACATTAGGGCACAAAGAATATTACAGAATATTCCCGGCCAATGATTTTTAAAGGAAATTTTAATTTCCTCCATAATTCCACTTGATTAAATTGGTTTAACTTTTATTTAATTTCTAGAAAATGCATTATTAAATGATTTTTAATCCCAAACAAAAATCGGGGCGTTACAGGGTTGAATGGCAATACTTTCATAGTGAAGAAAAGGAACAACGAGTGAATAAAATAAACATGTTTTTGAGCATATCTTACATAAGCTACGAAGTTTTTTCCACTAATCGTGTAATATTGAATCATGCACAGTCATGACCATGCCAGCTGCACATATATGGTATGTGTCAGGGTTACGGATAAGGTATACCCTCTATCCTTGGATCTACGCTATACGGCAATACAGTATATCGGCGCGTGTATGGACGTTCTCTGTATACGTTAAGGAAATTCATCTCGAAGTCTACCAATGGAAAGGTTCCTACCCGTATAGGACTGGGGCGTCACTATGTCGTGCAGGGTCCGATGTCTTCGAGTCCTGCTTGGAGACCACCTAACCTGCGATATAAAAGGGACCCCCCGGGAAGACCTAAGGCATCGAATCTCATGGCCAACACAACGACCACAGCCTACGAAGCCGGAAACTACAGGAGCCAAGTAGCCGGGTGATCTAGTCGAATCAACTCGACTACGATCTCGTCGGTACCATCGAGTTCTATTATTCCCTTTGTAATATGTGGTTCTCTCCATATAATCCCATAACAACTGGATTAGGGCTATTACCTATCAATGGGCCTGAACCAGTATAATCTTTGTCTTTTGTTTTCTTGATGTCGTACTACGTAGATCCTCGTACCAGCGTACCCCAATACCCTCTATATCCAATCTACGGGTACCCACCGTCGACAGTGGCGCGCCAGGTAGGGGGCCTTGGTGCTCAAGGTTCTACTACTATGACATCAAGTTTCGTCGACAACGGCGTCAACACCGGCCCCATCCAAGGAGTCCCTACTTCAACAATGCTGGTGTGGACTCGAGTCGGCGAAATCATCTTCCTGGTTTACACCACGGTACCAATCTCGGCTGGTCCATCAATGACCGGAAACGAGAACGCCGTGGCTATAACCCCGGACGATCCCGTGTCGAAGGATCCTCCTGCCGTGGTGGAGAATGGAACATCGACGTCATACGAGCCCGAGAAGGTTTCTAGTGCGGCCAAACCTTGTCCTTCCGGCAAGAACTGTGAGCCGACAAGGACAACTTCCAAGGTAACAAAGTCCTGGTGTCCTATCCACAAGTCCAGGAAGCACAATTTGCAAGCTTGCTGGGTTTTTCTCAACGTACAAGCTGAAATTCATGCTTGCAAAGAGCGTGGAATCTAGCGTACTTCTCCAACTCGTGATGTCTATTGTCCTATTCACAAAACGAAGAATCACGACTTCTCAAGCTGCAAGGTCTTTCTCCGCACCATGAGAACGACGCTTCCTAAGGTTCAGCAGTCAGGAACCTCTCTTAAGGAGACAGACAAGGAACAAGGAGCGACGTTGACCTCGGATCGATTCGTTGGAGTAATTGACATTGATCCCCACAAGCCATCAGTCCTACACTTGCTCGAAGACTACGGCTCGTCGTCTTCTAGTACACCACGCGACGTGTTTGCCA